GGGCGTCTTGGCAGCCGCCTCGGGCGCGGAGAAGGGGAGAACTTGTGGGCCGCCGCGGGCTTCCACGCCGAGGACTCGGGGGGGCCCAACCCGGAAGATCCCCGGCGGGAGGCCCTTTAAATCGCCGGAGCCTGGTTGTTCCCGGCGCGGGGGGCCTCCCCCGCGCCGGGGCCCCGCGTGCGGAGTTGGAAAGGCCCCGCGTGCCTTTTTGTCTCCCGGCGCCCAGGACGCTGCTCGCTCTCGGGGTAAATCTGAATAATTCGGGAGCCATTGTCCTCTGGATCCGCAGGGTGAAAAAGGAGACCTGGCAGGATCGTCTAGCTGTGGCTCCCTGGTCCCATGGGGGCGTCCCAGCAGCCCTGGATGCTGCCAAAAATCGGTTCAGTTTGGGGGCGAGGAGTGTTTTTTGCTGGTTTGTTTTTTAAGTCCCCTTCCTGGGGGCTTTTCTGTCAGTGGTTGGCACTTGACATGACCGAAACCCGCAGTATAAGCAGGAAATAGTGACAGAGCTCTCCTTAAAGAGAGATCTGCCTAAGACGTGAGGTAGGTGACTTACTGAGTCTGCATCTTTTTGTCATTGGTTGACGTTTTTTCCTTCCTTTCTGTGCTTTGGCAAAGGAGCCTATTGTGAAAGATTACACAATTTTCTTTCACCCCTTGTTAACTGCATTTAAATTTGACATGGTTACATAAGTAGCTCATAATCTTACAAAACATAGGCAGATTATTAAATTTTATGTTGCTCCAATTTGTGGCCCTCTTAAGGGTATAATGTATCAAAATTATTTAAATTAAGCACATACAAATAGCCGAGCAGGCAGTATTAGAACTCAGGTGATCTAAATCGATCTAATTTTTAAAATTTTTGTATCTATCTAAATCTTTTAATATGGTGCCTTTATTTTACATTACCTTAGTCCATTGCAGAAGTCCTGGCATGTCTATATCATTGTGATAGTGTAATTATTTTAGTTCCTTGAGGAAAGTTTCTCTGAAGACTATTAAATCTTGGAGGCCATTTTGAACTTCCCAAGTTCTGGTGAATTTATGAAAAGCAATGAAAATTATCTTATGAAAAAAGAACAGAATCTGAGATTAAATAGCTTTGGCCCAATTATCTGAACTATTAACTTTTAGGGTTTTGCGTTGTGGGTTTTTTTTTTTTAATCTATGCAATTTAATATACTCTTAGGTCCTAAGTAAGTCATTTATCTTTAAAAATCTAAGCTTGGTACATGATAAACAACTCTTAATATGACATTTTACTTTGAAATATTGATTCATTAAATATCAAAATATACTTTATAAGATTTTGTTTTCAAATATCTATTAATACAAATAAAATTTCCATACTGATCAGTAACAGAATCACAAAGATTTATGCTTTCCCATCTTCCACTCCTGCATTGAGAGCTGGGTTGAACTTCTATATAGTCTTTTGAAAATTGGAGAAATAATTTTAGTTGATATTTTTGGAATCTGATAGTGATTGGGCTTTTTTAGCTAGAAATTCTTATGTATAGACTGTTGTCTCAAGTTGCAAATACTTAACAACTTAGTTTTTTTCCAGTAATGTCAACTGTAAAAAAAAAAAAAATTGTTGAATTTGAATTGAAGTAATTAATATTGAACATTTTTTTCCACTAAGAATTGAGACTCGATAAAAATCTTAGGCATTTGTGTGTTTTCTAAGCTATTGCAGATCCCAACCCCCTGCTAGACTAATAAGTGGAGAGGAGCATTTTTCAAGCAAGAAGTGCCTGGCTTGGTTTTATGAGTATGCAGGTAATGAAACTAATATAAGGAGATATCAGTCGTGTGCTTGAAAATGTTTTTTGTGATTTATCCATTGAACAAACCATCTCTTGCAGGACTGCTGTGTGTTAGTGCCGTGTGCTGGCATCAGGGTCAAGACTGAGGATTGTGGGCAGGCTGAAAACTTGGTGCAAGTTCAGGTTGATGTTTATGTAAATATATATTCAGCATGTAATTAGTGGGAGGGAAGAGAGTCGTTTACTCTTAGTGCAGTTTGTAAAGGAAGATATAGATTCGTGGGTCTACATTCATTGGCCAAAGTACGAAGTACATAATGAAACTTTTTTCCGTTTTTTTTAATTTTTCTGAACTAGAAACTAACATATTCTGAAACTTTTGGGGAGACTCAGTAGCAGAAGGCTTAACTGTCATCTGTGTCATCGCACAACACATTTATCCTTTAACGGTTGTCGTTTAGCCACTCACCTTCGCTGGAGATGCAGCAATAGGGAGGAAAGCAAGCTGACTGATGTTAACTCATGCAGTGTGGTAAACACTATGCCAGGAAGGTACACCAAGACAGCTCATAGGAAAGGAGGACCACATAACCCAGCCTCTCCATTACCGGGGAAGGCTCTGAGGAAGCTAAATTCCTCAGCTGAGCCCTGTCAATGGTGAGTAAAACCTCTAGGCCAAGGGGAGGGCTCATATCTGAAAGGGGAACTTCAAAGCCGCCCAGGGATCCAGCCAAAGAGTCATGCACATATATGCCAAAGAACACTTCTTTCCCGTCTACACTAACTTTTCCACGAAGCATATGAAACTTTTTCCCCTTAGAATAGTTTGGTTTTGCTGATTTTAAAGCTTTGCTTTTCTTTCCCCCCTCCTTTTCCCTGTTTCCTTTTTCTTTTCTTTTTTATTTTTGTGGTAGAGGCGGGGTCTTGGTATATGACCCACTCTGGTCTCAAACTCCGGGGCTCAAGCAATCCTCCTGCCTTGACCTTCTGAAGGGCTGGGATTTCAGGTGTGAGCCACCACACCCAGTCTCCTGTTTCCTTTTGCTTACCTGTTTCCCTATTTTTTTGTCTTGTTTTTTCCCCTTATTTTATCACTGTTGTTCTCAGAATGTCTGTTTAAAATAGAAGTGCAGGTGTAGTTATTGCATTATTTTAATAAGACCATGTTAATGTCTAAAGTGTACTCTGAACTTGAGATACAAGTTTAAGCTAACTGTATGGAAAGTGAGACTATTTTGAAAGACGGGCAGTAACTTCCCTGTTGGGATCAGCTGAGTGATCCCAAAAGTATATTATAAAAATTGTTTAGTAACAGAACAGAATCTTTTTAGTCCAGGAAAAAATGCTATTACTGGCATCCCAAGACAACCATTAACCCAATTTAAATGAAGAGAATTCATTTTTTTACTGACCTCCATTTAAAATGTTGACCCATTATTCAAAATGCCAGTCTTACTAGTATGTATGATATAGAATCAAAAGGTCACTCATCTTATTTCACTTATAAAGGTTACTAGATAACCACAAAAATAGTATTTTTTTTCCTTTTATGATTCCTTGTTTTGGTAGCATAAGATTATAATTAGTTTTTCCTAGGAACTTCTTAAGGTAGCATAAGATTATAATTAGCTTATACACTTATTTTCTATGTTAGCACTTTTTCAATAGCCAACATAATAATTGCCATTATTCCAGAAAGTGTGTTAAGTATATCCTTTTTTTATGACTGCTCTGTTAAGTAGATAGTGTTAGTTATCCCCATTTTACAGATGAGAAAACTGAGGTGTAAATTAATTTGCCCAAGGTTGTTTGGTAACAAGACCCAGGATGCAACCCTAGGTCATGCTGATCCTAAAGCCCATGCTTTTAATTGCTACTGTTTATGATGTTTGTTTTTAATTTAAATGTGTACATGACTGTGTACATGGCCTTTACAAGGAAAAGAAAATATTTTCTTTCACCTTTACAAAGAAAAGAAAATATTGGTATTATATATTAAAATATATATTAAATAATACAGTAAAATAGTATGCTTGATTTATTTGACAGATATTATTGAGCCCTTGTTTTGAGTCAGGCACTGTGCTGAGTTTGGGGATATAATGGTGAACAAGTCAGACAAGATGCCTGCCCTCAGGGACTTGCCTTCTAGTGAGGAAAACAGTCAGTAAACAAGCAAGATCATATGTAGGAGAGAAAAATCACAGATTGGGGAGAATTATAAGTTCAGGAATAGAGTAAGGAAAGGGTTGGATGGACTTTCAGATAAAGTGACTGGGGAAGGCCCTCTGTGGAGATTGCTTCCTGCAGAGACCTGATCAGGGAGGAGCCTGTTGTTTGCCAAATAAATAGTAACTGTCTTCAGATGGGAATGTCCTTATTAAAATGGAGGCAAATGGGTCACCCCTTCATGTCCCCTCCTACTAGGGAGCTTTTCTGTTTCCTTAATAAATCTTACTTTCTAACTTTAAATAAATAAGCAAAATGGAGGCAGTAATGGTGCCTACTGAGAATAATAATGCACAGTTCCTGGCATATAGTCAGAACTCAATAAATATTGGTTATTATTAAGCCGGACGCAGTGGCCCAACCTGTAATCCCTGCACTTTGGGAGTCCTAGGCAAGAAGATTGCCTGAGCCTGGGGTTTGAGACCAGCCTGGGCAACTTGGTGAGACCTAGTCTCTAACATAAATCACAAAAACTAGCTGGGCGTGGTGGCATGTGTCTGTAGTTCCAGCTACTTGGAAGGCTGAGGCAGAAGGATCGCCTGAGCCCAGCAGGTCGTGGCTGTGGTGGCCATGAGCTTGCCTCTGCACTCCAGCCTGGGTGACAAAGAATGAGACTCCAACTCAAAAAAAAAAAAAACAATAATAGTGTTACAACATCAAACATACTAGTTGTATGTTTTTGTAATGTTGTTCCAAAATTGGTAACTACTCTTATATATAGCTCATGTTGAAGGTGCTGTGTCACTGAGCCCTTTTTTTTTCCCCTTCCCTCCCTGATGTTAGTAGTCCTGCCGATGTAGCTGTATGGTTATAAAGAAATCAGAAAATTGATGGTGTTTTGTTTTCTTATAGTTTTGAAAATATCAGTAGTCATGTTAGTGTTACAGGTTATTCGTGATAAACCTTGACTTTGCATTCCTGAGTAATATTTACTAGATCTGTGGTAAACAAAAACATGGAAAGTGAAAGGATACTCTTAAAAAGGTTCAAAAATCAGATTGGAATTGCACAGACCTAATTTAATACCCAGCTGGTAGGGTAAACAGAGTAGTGTGAACAAAATCATTCCTCCAGGTTCTTCAATTGAATGGAAACCCAGTTGCCCAAAAGAGTTAATTAAAGAAGTTTTACCCAGAGAGTTTTATTGGAAGGATATGGTTCAAGAAGTATAATTAACATTATGGAGTCAGTAAAAGAACGTTGCTGTAGACCTTGCTTAAGACTTGGATCTGTTGTTATTTGCATCGCTTTGGGGAAATCATTTAACATTTACAGACCCTATCTATGTAAGATCTTATGTATCTCTGTATAACCTAATTTAACTTGATTTGAATGGAATTATAATCAATAATGAACCAACTAATTCCCCTAGTTTCTAGGGGGCGCTATACTGATATTTCTGGATTTAACTCTTCAGCTTTCTCTTCTAATCACTAATGGCAACTTAAAATTCAAGCCTCCAGCCGGGCTCGGTGGCTCAGCCTGTAATCCCGCGCCTTTGGGAGGCTGAGGTGAGTGGATTGCCTGAGCCCGCGGGTTCGAGACCCGCCTGGGCAGCGAGACCTCATCTCTACAATAAATCAAAAAATCAGCTGGGCATGGTAGCGTATGCCTGTAATTCCGGCTACTCGGAAGGCTGAGGCGGAAGGATCGCCGGAGCCCAGCAGGTCGAGGCTGCGGTGGCCGGGAGCGGCCACTGCACTCCAGTCTGGGCGACCAAGTGAGACTCCAACCCAAAAAAAAACAAAAAAAAAAATTGAAGCCTCCTTGTTGTGCTAGACAAATTTAGAATATATTTCTATTATGGCTTTAAAAAGCCCTTGTTTTCTTCCCTTAAGCTTTTATATCTGATTTTTGTTTTCTTCTAGCCATATATAAGGATAGACTCAATTATGTTTTTCAACACCTTTATTTTATATGTATGCTTTTTAAATTATCAGATTAACATTCTCATTAAAACAATTCTCCAAATATATATGTAATATTAGGAAGCTAAAGTCTCCTATAATTATATTTTTCTTTACCTTTTAATACCTCAGTGCATTGTTAGTACTTATTTAAATTAAACGACATTTACCATTTTACACAAAAAATATTTTTAAAGAGTTTTGGTTTCAGACCATGTGTTAATGTCATCTTAGCCACTTAGATAGAGGCTTCTCTTGGCTACTTTAACAATAATATTTTAAGAGTATATTTTTAAAAGCCTATATCAGTAAACACATTTTTATCATATTTTATAATGTTAAACATGTTGGTTTTGTCTTATCCAGTTGCAAGGGACCTGCCAATGATTTAGTTACTATATTTTGGAAGTCTGATAACATTAAAAAATATGAGAATTGATGTATTGACTTATATTAGTGTTACTAAGGGCATAAAATAAGGAACAAATTAAGTACCAGCGGTTTATTTTGGGAGAGATGACTGAAAGATTAAAGAAACTTTTGTTTCTCCCCTAAGGTGATGTAACTAATGCTTTGCTGTATATTTTAGAACCAAGATGGAAATTGAATGTAGTAATTTCCGTGTCGTTATTTTCAAAATATATATATCTTTTTTAAGAATTACAATATATTTGAGTATATTTCAAAAGGGTAACAAACGACCCTCTGTTTACAAGTAAATATTCTTGTGTTTACTGTATTGCACCAGGCATGAGTTCTGACATATAGTAGGTTAAGCACCTCTGCCCTATAAGTTTCTTTATATTCCTGCATTGCTGACAATTTTATTCAGAGTAGGTCCTCTGATTTTCTTTTATAATGGATAGGTTCAAGTTTTTGTACAAACGAATGATTGATACTAATGGAATTTTTTTTACTGCTTTCTAAAAATTTTCTTAATTCATGTTGTGATGTGATGTTCAAAGAATACTTAAAAACCTTAAAATTTTAAATCTTAGTATCAAATGTTACTACTTATCAAGTCTATGCCAAAATTCAAATTTAATTATTTGTAAAATAGTATGGGGTATTCATAATTGCCTTTAGCATAATAGTTTATGTTTTACGTTGTTATTAAATATAACACAATTTATAAATTATTTTTGTCTTTGAAGGTCCTGATGAAGTTGTAGGGCCAGAAGGAATGGAAAAATTTTGTGAAGACATTGGTGTTGAACCTGAAAATGTATGTTTTATTTCTAAGTAGAATAGAATATAAGTGGGGTATAGCATATTCACAAATTTTTAAAATTGAGACACTTTAATCTTGGTATGAAGATTTTGTTTCTTCGTGTTTAATATTGTAAATTTGCATCTAGGGTACTTTTAATCAGTTTAAGTTGAGCAAGTATTCTCTTTCTTGATACAAATGTCATTTGCAATAGAGTAAGAGAATTTCTACCTCCAGAAACTATTAGAACTTTTTACTTTTCAGAAATTGGCACATCTCAATTTCTTTATAGTTAATAATTCCGGAAGTTGTACTCTTTAATAGTTGAAGGATGGAAGTAGTTGTATAAAAATGCTCTCCATGATAAATATAGACATGATTATCTCTGTGCTGACTTTTCCCCTATCCTTTATGTTCTGTTCTTTCCAGATTATTATGTTAGTTTTAGCGTGGAAATTGGAGGCTGAAAGCATGGGATTTTTTACCAAGGAAGAATGGTTAAAGGGAATGACTTCATTACAGTAAGACATTTTTTTAAAAAACAAATTTGATGGCCTATTTGAAGATCTTAATTGATATTTCGTGCTTCATAATTTTCAGGATAAGGTTTCACTTTAAAATAATCAAATCTGTTTGATCTATAACGATTGTTTTGGGGATTGGCAAAACTACATGTGGTCTTGGGAAAGGAATAGTTACCCCATGTTTCATATTCTCTAAAAAAGAACCTCAGTTCGGTTCTATTAAAATGTACTGATTCTTTTGGTGAGTGAATTAGAAGTCCATGATCAAAGAATTATTTATTCATCGGTTGTTTGAATAATAAAGATTTCCTCTTCTGAATACAGAATTCTTCTATCTAAGGAATTTGTTGGGCAGGCCTAAGCTCACATGCTTCCTGTCTGCCCTCTTTAATTTTATATTTGATTTTTAAAATTTGAAGATAGAGTTATATAACACTTTTATGATTTCTTTTTTGCCAAATCAATTCATAAAGAACAAAAATAGAAATTGTGTACCATTCCCATGCAGTCTTCAGTCATTTTATGTTTTAGGATGGCTTTGACCATTTCATAAGTTACAGAATTGTACTTTTATAAGAATAATTTAACTTCACCTTTCCAGAATAAAGTGCGTTTAATTTCAGAATAAATTAGCAATTTTGTGTTAATTTTATATTATCATGTTTCTAATATTCATAGATGATGTTACTAGTTATCTCCATTCAAAAATAAAGGAAGTATAAGTATATAATATTTTTGAGGCAAAAACTAGGGTTTAATTAGCCATGTGGTTTCTTGTTGGGATTATGCTTTTAACACACTTAACGATTATTTATTTCTTGTTTATTTTTCCTTAGTTTTTGTTAAAGTGTGTTTGTTCATATGGCACTTAAATTTTTAAATTTGAAATTTTAGTGCTTGATGCTTTATAGTTCTCTTTTAAAGCCAGCATTGATATATAAATATTTTATGTATTTTTTCTTGGGTAAATGTTTTTTTCTCATGTGGACCAAATCATAATTTCTTGAACATAGTCAACCCTCTCCCTTCTGTTTTTGTTTTTTTGTGTTTTTAATAAGTGGGAGTCTGAGACACAGAGAGGTTAACATATTTGACAAAGTTAACACAGTTCCTTAGTGGCAGAGTTAGGTCCTCAAATTTAAATTTCCTGATTAACAGTCCCATCATACTGTACTCCTGTCTTTTTTGTTCTTTTGTGTATAAATTAGCATTCTTCATAAAAGAGAGCAGCATTATTCACTTTTAAATGATGGTATTTGCGACCAAGAATTCTGTCACACATCTAGGTACACAGTTAAATACGTCGATCTGAAGTTTTGGGGCTATTTTCTACCATTTTATTAGCTTTTTATAGAAAGATAAATATACAAAAGAGTATGCAGTGAATATAGTTTTTATACAACTCAATCTTCTCCATTAAAATTTATTTTATAACATGGCTTATTAACTGTATGACATCTTACTTGGCATTACAAGTGCTTTTTATACTACTACTACTACTACTACTACTCCTCCTCTTCTTTCTCCTCTTTGTATTGTTTTTTTTGAGTATCTCAGCTAACAAGTAATTGTATATTTTTAAACCAAAATGTTTCTTATTTATGTTTTTGCCTAAGTTGATACAATATAAAGATCCTTTATATAACAAAAATGTGAAAGCACAATGCATTTCTAATATATACTCCTGGATAATTAACAACATATGGTCTTGGATACAAGAACAGACATTGACTAGCCTATGGGCAGATTTTTATTAGTACACCTTTCCTATAGGAAGTTCACAGGCTATACAAAATAAAAGCAATTATTCAGTACTTAAAATTACCCAAGAAATTTCTCTTTCCCTGGTTTATTATTTCTTGCTCATCTGCCTAGAATAATATACTGTAGAGCCTTAAAGCTACTGAAATAAGCAAGCCTTCTTGGCTAGGAAATAGTATTTTTTTCCCATAATCTAGATTGCCATGTAAAGTACAAAGTATCTTCCCTTAATTGGCCAAGTCTTACTGCTCCCTGAATCTTCTTGTAAAAAACTTGGTATGAATAAAGCAGTTTTAAATTTACCATCCAGGGAAACAAAGGAATTCATGTGTCTTAATTTTAAAATTAATAGTTACTTGGTATATCTGATTTTATATAATAAACATAATCTTAAAATGTAAAACTTCACAATCTCAATACTCTTTGTATATTTTTTATATTTTTAGAATTGAATTTAGCCTGGACAGCTGATGATCTCAAAATCATTCTTAATGATTATCAGTTATCAATTGTTTCAATTAATTAATTGTAACCCATAGAAAACGTAGAACTTTGCTAAAAAAAATACCAGTCTGGTAGTTAAAACATACTTTAGTAAAGAACAGTGAATTATAGTAATCATGATTAATTCTGATCTGTTTTGTGTATTGCTGTATAGTTTTCAGAATACTTTTTAACATTGATTTGTTTTAAGCCATTCATTTGTTTTAACATTCATTTTGTTTAAGTCTTTTGCATAGGCTTTGTATAACTGAATTGGATTTCCTTTGTGTGAAAGAATTTGTGTGTATGAATTTGTATGTAGCTAGACTAGACTGGCCATTGTATAAGTCAGAGGGATTGAAATTGCCATATCCTTTGTACATATTTTGCTCTATGTAACTTTTCTTTGATAATAGTCAAATTTCCCTGCATATCCATTTTGTGGGTATTTATATTAAACACCTATATTATGTTAGGCGCCAGGACACTTGTGATCACAGTGAGGCTAAGATTTAGCTGTTGCCCATTTATTTATTTGTTTATTTACTTTTATTTATTTACTTTTCTGAGTTGAAGTCTCACTCCATCACCCAGGCTGGAGTGCAGTGGCATGCTCACAGCCGCCTCAGTCTTCCAAGTAGCCAGAACTACAGGGACACGCTACCACACCCAACTTTTTTTTTTTTTTTTTTTTTTGGTTTATTGTAGAGAAGAGTTCTCAGCATGTTGCCCAGGCAATCCTCTTGCCTCTTCAAGTGCTGGGATTATAAGCTTGAGTCACCATGCCCAGCCAGCTCTTGCCCTTTTAATGACACTCTAATAGGACAGGGAAGACATTGCAATACTTTAACCGTAAACCCAGGTAGAATGGGACAGGTGCTAGAGTAGAAAAGTACAAAAGAGTACAAAATACTTGGGAAGCACAGGTGCTATTAAGATTAATTTGAGCTGAGTACATAAAGAAATCTCTCTAGCTGTGGCATGTGAACTGGAACTTGAATGATTAGGGTTTTGTTAAGGATATGGGAAAATGTTTCAGAAGAGAGAACTTGGGAGCAGAGCCTTGAGAAAGGAAAGCATATATATGATGGAAGTAGTCTGATTTGTTAGATTCATAAGGTACTTAAAGAAAATTGCCAGGATAGGTTTAGAGTTCTAGGTATTTGAGTAATAGTTACAATGTGGTGGAGAACTTTAACATGTTGAGAGAGTTTCAAACATATGTTATAGATACTCGGAAACCAGCAGGATTTTTGAGCACAGGAATTATCAAAGATTTGGGGGATGATTTTCAATGAGCTGCTGTTCTTAAAGTTCTGAGGTCATAGAACCTTGAGAATCATGTTTCTTGTCTCCGTTAAGATGCACATGCATTACTACACACAAAAATTTGCATGTGCTTTTAGGAGGTTATGGATCTTTCTCCCTAAAGTTCCAAGGATGCTTGCAGGTTTTATTCTGGCATACTGCACTGGAGTGGAGAACTTTTCTCCTATCTGCTAGCTAAAAGTTTGGTATCAGATCTAGGATGAAGTACCGTATTCGTGGAGAAAACCGAGCATAGGCCTTTGAAGAGAACTGTACTTGATTATGGTGATGAAAAAAAGAGACAAGAAGGTGGCCTCTGACACAGTGGTAGTACCAAAGTTGACTGCCAATGGGCTGTACATTGTACATCATCTAGTTTCCATATTAAACCGTGTGGATTTTGAACATTAAAGGAAATGGCCTAGTTTGACTTTCTTTGAGAGAGGAGAGGAGTGGGGAATGCTTACATGATTTTTTGGTGGAGGTAGGAGACTGGGATAGATGGCATGTTCTAGTATGTATGATATGACTATCATTTGCTTAGCGTTTGAGGCCCCAACTATTAATTGCCATTAGTGTCCCTCCACTCTGATCTCCCTTGGGGTCGTCATGACAATTTCACAATGCCCCTCCTCCACATTTCCAAATACCCCAGAAGTAGACAGTATTGCTCTGGTTGGTACACTTGATTTAGAGGAAGTTAGAAATCCAGAACTTTGTGATAAAATTCTTTGTGTTACACATTGGTGTCTCACAACACACTTGTTGGGACTTAATGACTAGTAAGAAAATCTCATTTAGATCTAATACATAAATGAGACATTCTTTTCATTTAAAGGTATTTAATGAAACAAAAATTTGAAAACCTCCTTTTGTAACCAGATGTTTAGCAGTACCAGGAAATTAGTTTCCAGGTCCTAATGTTGAAATGTAAGCCCATTTCTTCTTATTCTAACCGAGCAGCCTTGGAGAGTGGTGTATCATATTGTGCCATTGTTCCCTGAAATCTCTGTGGTTTTACTTGGTTGTTATTCAAAAAACAATCTTTTGCTTTCCATAAAATGCTAGTTAAGAATGCATTTCTTTTTAGTTCAAAGGAAATAGTCTTTCTACAATGCTCAGTTTCTGATGTAATAATTTCGAGGCTAGATTAAATATGACCACTTATGTACCGAGTCCTGAATTGTACCCCACATCTTTAAAATAAAAATAAAAGAGAATTGTGTTGGTGTTAGTGACTGTTTGGGTATGTTCACTCATTTTGTCAGGTCTTTTCAGTCTCTGTGACACTCGTAATAAATGTGGAGGTTTTTACTTTTTTTTTCACATTTCTTTATAAACAAATATGTTGGATTCTTTTCTCTGTTCAAGATTTATGATAGACCAATGGAAATGGTGTGACATTGTTTGGACAGAGGTGTGTAATATAGGTGGTTTTTAAACCA